GAGGCAAGGATTGCTGGCCGCAAGTACCACAGAGACGTCGAGTGCCAAGCTGGGATGCGAGTTCACCTGGTAAGGGAACCAGAAAATCCCATGGATACATACGCTGTGAAGGTAAACTTGAGTGAATGGACGTGTTTCATGGCTGACAACAACATTGCGCCAGGTGCTTACAGCGGATGGGCTTTCGCTGGGACATATTCCAAAAGAGCATTCGCGTTATTTTTCTCCTCTCATGGACAAAGGCGTGGTAGACGTTCAGGTAACTAATCTCTGGGGCGTTTTTCAATTGTTCACAAAGCTTTCAGGGATATGTCTCCGAGAGTACATCTGAAGCTGCACGCCTCAAGCTTGATTTCCGTGAGATCCAGAGTCGGACTATTGGAAGTCTCTCAGAAGAAAAAGTGCTGGCTGTCAAATGGAGCCGTCTGATGGATGCAGCTGACAAGGGACAAGACCACGGCTGTCGATACCAACAGAATTTTCTCTACATGCTCCAAGTGGTATTGGAACGGGATCTCCATCTCTTTACTCCAGACGAGATCGAACTTCTCGAGGCATTTCGTTCAATCTCGTCTGATGGACAGCGCCTTTTTGTAAGATTGGCTCAACGAAAGGGTAAGCTAAACACCGTCGCACAAACTGTGACTCAAGGGAGACTGTGGTTTTGCAGGGCCATGGTTCCGTCTTCAGAACATTTTCTATGAAGATATTGGTGACACAAATTCTGCAGTCCATGAGTTAGTCGGTACTCAATTTCTTTCATCGTGTACTTCATAATATGTTTGCTCCCTTGTAACAGAGAGACGCTACTTAGTTTTCAACGCGGACGTCAATTCGTCTGAGTTGCTTGAACATCTGACTGTACAAGAGCTCAAAGATTTGGCAGTGAACAGCAAAATCATGGTAGTTACTTCTAAGACTTTCTTCCTTGTTTTCATTTCTGTTCCTGCTTACAGATCAAAAGTGCTACGCTAAGTTTGAAAAAGATTCAGCTTATTACAGCAATTCGAGATGCATTGATTTCGCTGCATTTGTAAGTAGCAAGTGATCATTGGTTTTTTATACAAGCGTGAAATACTTGGCGGCAGTAATCTAACGGCTTTAATTCGTGAAGCAACCGGCCCATGCATTCGAATAGCCGAAACACTTGAAGTTCTACTTTGGCGTTTACAGGTCAGTTGACATCCTCTCCAAAGTGTTACACTGCTGATGCTGAGCAATTTATTTATTTATTTATTTATTTATTCAGAGGCTGTTCTTTCTAAACGGTGAGCAGGAGTTCCATGTTTTTCTTCTTGTGGATATTGGAAGGATCAAGTATCCAAGCTATAGGTGCGCTAGAACAATGCCAGTCTTTGCTTCTCGAGAGGACTTTCTGGCGTATGAGCAGGTCCGTTCCTACTTTGTTATAAAATTTGTCTGACCGTCGAGTTTTCAGGCATTGCAATTGGCTCAGGTGGTTGACATGTCCCTGGAAGCTGGTAATTCTGAGGCTGTAAACTCCTCTTTTCGAAAAGCAAGGACTACACTCGAATTGATCAATGCACACACCGAGATCAAGCATCCATTTTTAGCACGGTTTTCGGCTGCATGGGTGCATGCAACAATCTGTACTGTGGCTGCATCGTTTCTGGAGAAAGAACGCAGGTACGCTCTTTCACCAATGGCGGACAATACTTTTGAACGAAAACTGGCTCTTGACCAGATACGCTGAAGCTGTAAACCTCTTGAAGCAGCTCCTTAGCATGCAGTATTGTCCTGGACGGAGAGGATACTGGACTCTCCGGCTATCTATTGACTTGGAGCACTTACAGCGTTTAGAAGAGAGCCTGCTCGTTGCAGAAAACGGATTAAATGATTTCAACGTCCGAGGAGGGGATCGTGTCGCTTTGCAACGGAGGGTTCTCCGACTAGGAAAACCTCCTAGAAGGTGGAAAGTACCTCCATATGCAGCGCTTTTAAAGAAAAAACACAAGGTGGTACGTACTGTGTCTTCCAGATATTTGGCCTTCAGCTACAACTCTGTTTCTGAAGGTGAGGATTATGGGAAGGCCGCTAAACAATGCCAATGGAATGAAGAGCAGATTTTATGGCTACGATGGGCAACAATGCAGTGTGGAGGACCTGGCACTTCAGTACTATGCCGGAGAAGATGGAGGCGGCTGGAAAGGAGTCCATTCAGAAAGCGGCATATGGCTGACATTGTTCGGGCTGCTCATGTGGGATGTTATCTTTTCAGACGTTCCAGATTTCTTCCAGACACCTTTTCAGGTTCTTGTTTCATTTTATCGTGGTTGCTCTACAGTTCTTGTTTGCAGACTGCACCATTGGACTTGTGCACGGATTCATTCTATCCAGTCCGAAGCTCGCTTATTGAATCTCGTCTTCAAGCCATACGCGATGGCGGAGCTAGGCAACTCGTGGCTGAGACTTGGGCAGAGCACTACGGGACATCATGTAGCGGGGTAAACTGGGAGAACTCGCTTGAAGACCTTCAAACAATAACGGTCTGTATCGGAGGTCCAGGATTGTCGGTGATTTGCAAGCTTCTTGCAGAAGACCACAGTAACTGGACGGCTGGAATGCCTGATCTTCTGCTGTGGAAGGAGAAAGAGGCAAAGCTGGCCGAAGTCAAGGGTCCAGGGGATCGCTTGTCCGAGCAACAGGTGGCCTGGTTTCTTATTCTCTCGGACGCTAATGTTCCAGTGGAACTTTGCAAGGTCTCCAAGACGATGAATGATCGATCCTAGATGAGTAGTGCCGGGCCCGAGACGGCTGCGCAGGCCTCTGCAACTTGCTCCGCCTTGCTTGAAGTCATAAGAACCGGTAAGCACCCGCTGTGGACTGCGAAGAATCCATTGCGCGCTACACACAGCCAGTGCCAAGTCCTCAGTGTCACCGTCTCAAGAGCTCTTCGATCGGGACCGCGAGGTGATAGAATCACCACTCGGCCTCCACCGTCATCTTAAAGATCCTCTCGGTGGAGGATCAGGAAATGCGAGTTCCAAAGAGATGAATCACGAGGGATTCCATGCACCTTAAAGACCATCCCCCGCGACTCTGTCATCCTTGATGAGTATCCTATCGAACAATGCAGTTGCTTGCTCCATATCCCCATTGTGGGCATGGAGTCCGTTGGGAGAACACGTAGAGACTAACCATGATCGCACTGAGGCATCCCAAAGAAGATTTGGCTGGCGTGATGCATGTCTCGGCCCGAGCCAAGCCCGAAGAGCTCGTTGGGGCATGACAAAGTCTTTGCCTCGTCAATCGGGGCATATGTGCTCACTATTGTCGTCCAGGTCACCACCTTTGCCTCGTCATGATGCCCAAAGTGGGCATATGTGATAGCAGAATGTGACTTGCTCGCCAGGATGAGCCCAACACGGGAGGATTCGAGTGCAGGGCTCTGGGTCCCAAGCTCTATCTCCTTGCAAATCGGTGAGCGTCTTCGATGCACGCAAGAATCAATGGAGCTTCGCAGCACCAATGCTGCGTTCTCCACCGCAGGAAACGAAATCTTTTACAACCAGGTGATCTTGAGCTCGCCCGGTGGTGCCGGACAGACGCTTGTTTTCGCAGCCCAAGATCTTTCCTGGGAAGTGGCGACTGGATTGCCCCGGCGCCACTACTTTGTGCACCTATGGAACGACATGGCCGGATCATTGTGTTGGAGGCAAGAATGCAGCTGACGACCGCTTCTTCCACCGATCACAGGTTTTTCTTCCGCGCCGTTCAGATTCTTCGAGCTTAGATGAGCTACTAGCTAAAGATGAATAAGTTATCTACAAGGATGTCGTGTTTGCAGATGAAAAGTTCTATGAAATGGTTTTTTTCTGTGTGAGTACGGTTGAGGTCTATTGGGAGGGCGAGGCCGGTCCGCTAAGGCGGCATTACAATGCTCCAGGGCCGCGAGAGCTTGATTCGGGTTGTAGGGAAGCGGCAACGCAGTGTGTCACTCCAGGACGCTCCGCCAGCTCAGGTGAGTGATCGAGCTTGTAATCGTTTTCTTGGAGTGCTGTGATGTCAAACAGCTTAGCTTGTTGTGACTGCCCTGTGGGAAGCAAACGCGGGAATGAACTTCTTGCCAGTTGCCATCTTGGTTTGGAGTTTGCTCTGTTTTGATTCAAGCAGGTTGATCGATGGTTTCTCTTGTCCAGATACTTGCCTACCAAGTGGGAAGAAAAACACGTTCCAGATGTCTTCCAGACACACTTCAGGTTCTTGTTTCATTTTCTTGTGGACTTCTTCTGCTCTGTAGGTATCAGAGCTCAGTTTCTGAATTCTTTCTTCTCCTTTCTTTGTGCCTCACATCATGAGCTGCAGCAAAGTTGGATTGATCTTGCTTCAGGGAGTCACTGCCTTTAATGGGAGGAGAGGGTTCAACACCTGGTCCGAGAAAATGATGCGCGTGCTGCAGATGGAAGAACTATGGGAAATTGACTTCGGTGGAAGGAGAAGTTGTGGATGAAGAGGCAATTCGTGCCTCTGTTGCAGCAGCTCGACAACAGCTTGATCTTGGGGAACAAGCTGCACTGGAAAAGAAGGAATCTCGAGCAAAAGGATTGATTCTTTCTAAGCTTGCAGATGCCCTTATGATGCATTTGCATCATAAGAGTGCTTGTGAGATCTGGGCTCATCTTCACAACAAGTATGTTGTTCTTTCCCTCTCCAAGATCAGCATGGTTGAGATTTGCATTCGTGAGACCCGTTTTCATCCAGGTGAGAACTTTCAAGAGTTCCTCGCCAAGATGCAAGATCTGTGGATGGAGCTTGAAGGCAGTCCAGCGGCATTCAACGAAAGCAAGAAAATTCTGGCGCTTTGCGAGGCCATGCAAGATTCTTCTTTTAGTTCTTTCATCCCTACCATTTGCATGATGTCGCTCAACTTTGAACAAGCTGATCAAACTTTACGCTCGGAGCTGGCTGTGAGAGGTTTGATTGTGGACTTTGATCAGAGGCCTTTCCATGTTTTGATCTCACAGTCTACATCAAATGTTTCTGCATCAAGCAATCAGTCAGGGACTGATTCAGCTCTGTGGGCTGGAAATCATCGAGGCAGAGGAGGCCACGGAAGAGGAGGACGAGGCAGAGGTCGCGGGTTTAGGGGAAATCTACAGCAGCAGCAGAATTCAGGGAATTTGGGTAAAGAAGCAGCAGTTTGAGATTGTTTTGTGGGCAAGAACAAACAGGAATGCTGGACCTGTGGGATGCCAAGACACTACTCCAAAGATTGCCCAGTTGCAACTTGGCTACAGCGCATGAATATAAGGCTCACAGCAAATGCTTAGGAAGGGGAAACACATGAACTTGTGGCATCATCTAAGGTAGCAGTTCCAAATGTTTCTGAAAAATTGACCATCGATTCAGGTTTAGAGAGACACCTGATGCAAAGCCGGTCGAACTTTGTGCAGTTGCATGCTGCAAAAGGGAAGTGCATTCATGTGGGAGATGGAAGCATTTTATCTGTTCGTGCAACTGGGGATGTGCGAGTTCCACTGGGAAGAAAGTCTCTGCTCTTGAAGAATGCATGGTATGTTCCAAAGATAGTGAAGAATCTGGTTTCTATAGCCAGGCTTACAGATGAAGGTCTGGATGTGAATTTCTCCAAACATCAATGTCAAGTTCTTGCAAATGGTCGTCCATGCATTTTCCAGATGTGGTAACCTATTTGAGAAGGAGATAGCTTCTGGAGAAAAATCAAACGCTCTTGAGATATGCATGACTGCAGATAGTTCTCTTTGGCATGCTCGACTTGCACATGCCTATCCCCCTCTCATCAGGCGTATGCAGAAGCAGGAGCTTGTGGATGGCTTCAATGACAACGTTCTTCAAAGTTCAGCTGCATTCTTGGCAAGCAAACCCATTTTACTTTCAAACCTGCTATGATTAGAAGCACTTGTCCCTTGCAGCTCGTTCACTCAGATGTTTGTGGACCCATGCGACTGTTTGCTCATGGCGCGAAGTATTTTGTGACATTTACAAATGATTTCTCGAGGCACACGGACGTCTTCTTTCTTCATTACAAAGATGAAGTCTTCAGCAAATTCAAGCAATTCATAGCAGAAGCAAGCTGGCCTTTCTTGTTGGATACGACTCCAATTCAAAAGGATATCACCTATACCAGCCTGGTAATCATCAAATTTTTGTAAGCACTGACGTTCGTTTTAATGAAGGAACACTCTACAAAGATCACGTTCAAGAAGGAGGAGGCTCAGATCAAAACATGAACTGGACTCTGGAAGAATGGAGTTAGGATGGTGTTGAAGACGTTGATGAAGATGACGATGATCTGACAATCATCTATCCCTCATCTCCTTCAGTAGACGACCATCCAACACCAGTCTCTAGATCTGTTCTTCCTGAAGAACAAGGCGATGCTGCTCATCGTGCACGAACTGGAGAAGTCAACAGGATCACACGTGATCTACCATTCAACATGGAGAACTATGGGCGGACATCATCTGGACGATCAAGCAGAGCACCTCATCCCAAGCAGTGGTCTTTTGCAGCAACAGAAATAGCTTATGAACCAATCAACTTTGAACAGGTGATTCAAACTCTTGATGCAAATAAGTGGATTTCAGCAATGCAAGATGAGTTGAATTCTCTTGATGAGAACCAGACTTATGACTTGGTGGAAGCTCTTGAAGGACGTGAAGTTGTCAGACTATGCTGGGTGTTCAAGCTTCACAGAAATCCTGATGGATAGTTCAGCATTACAAGGCAAGACATGTTGCTCAAGGATATTCACAAGTTCCTGGAGTGGATTTTGATGAGATATTCTCACCAATTGTGAAGCAGACAAGTATCAGAACGCTTTAGCAGAGTTTGGTTTGCATGCACATCACATAGACGTAAAAACAGCCTTCCTTAATGGGAACTTGAAGGAGGAGATATTTATGCAGCAACCCCCAGGCTTTGAGCTTTTTGGATCACGGCGTTTGAACTGGTTTGCAAGCTTCACAAGGCTCTTTATGGCCTTAAGCAAGCTTCTTGTTAGTGGTATGAATGTTTGGATTCTTTTCTTACGGGTCTTGGTATGTAGAGGTTGAACAGCAATGGAAATCTATATCTTCTTCAGCAGGGTGATCACTTTGTTGTGATGGCAGTTTATGTGGACAACGGTTTGATTGTCAGCAATAGACACTATTTTGAAGGATGTGAAGGTCAAAGCTCATGGACAGGTTTGTGATGAAGGACTTAGGAGCTGTACAGCAGCTGTTAGGGATGGAAGTTGATAGGGATGAAGCAAACAGGACAATCACCCTCACACAACGCTAATATGTGAAGAAGCTTCTCAACCAGTTCAACATGACAAGTTGTAAATTCGTGGCTACACCAGTCATCACTGGCATCAAGTTCACAAGCAAGATGGATGATTTACTTGATCAGCCCTCAGTCTACTGATCACTTGTTGGAGGACTACTCTACCTCGCCAACATGACTCGCCCTGACATCTCCTTTGCTGTTGGTCTCCTCAACCAATACATGCAGTCTCCGAGTTGTTATCATTGGCAGATGGCAAAGAGAGTTTTGAGGTATTCGAAAGGAACAACTGCTCATGGATTGGTTTACAAATGCTCAAATCAGTCCAAACTTGTTCTTCAAGCTTACTGCGATGCAGATTGGGCTTGGATACACAACATTCAAGCTCCGGAATTTGCTGCACAATTGCTGGTGCTCTGGTTTCATGGGGAAGCAAGAAGCAAACGATGGTTGCTCTTTCCAGTGCAGAAGCAGAGTACGTAGCTACCAGTACAGCAGCAAGGGAGATCATCTGGCTTCATCGATCACTTGGAGAACTCAATCAACAGCAATCAGATGCGACCATTCTGCATTGCGACAGCAAAGGTGCAATCGCCATGTCAAAGAATCCTGTGTTTCATGCTCGTACGAAACATATAGACATGCAGCATCACTTCATTCGCGAAAGTGTAGCAGCTGGAGATCTTCACCTGGAATATGTTCCTTCACAGTATCAGTTGGCAGACCTTCTAACCAAGCCACTTTCAGAGCTCACATTCATCAAGCTGAGGAATCAACTTAGAGTGTCAAGTGCCCTCAGTTTGAAGGGGGAGTGTAGGAATAATGATGAACATGACAAGC